TTGTACAAGAGCAATGGAGGTCGTACCTGGAGAGGGTTATTCACAAGCACAGCGGATCACTCAAAGGAGCAAGATATGATAAAAGAAGCATGGCAGCAATGAGAAGCACGATCTTTTGTTTCGACTTGACAGGAGGACTGGTCGCCTAGGATCCCAACGTGGCTTTGATGCCAACCCATCCAAATGGAATTACACAAAACTGAGCAAAAACCAGGAGACAAATCCTCCAATGTGAGCGAAGCTGTTGATGTGAGGCAAGGTGCCCCAAGTTGATGTTGATGATGATCAACACTGCAATTTGCAAAAAGAAAACAAAGAAAAAAATAGAAGCTTTATGCTTGACACACCACGAAATTTACTTTAAAGCAAAAGGTGCCTTGTTGGAATAGATGTATGAGCTTTTAGACCAAAGAGAGCTCCCGACACTCCCAAAGATAAAACGGTTCTGGATGAACAATGTGGATAGGAGGCTACCCCTAGATATCAACTTACCAAAGCCAAACTCCCTCTCCAGATGAATGATCAAACCACATGCAAGAGATTTGCTGCCACCAATTATGTTTTTTCACCACTGCTGTCAAGTCCAATGCCCCATCTATCAATCTACAAAGGCAACAATTGATCAGAAACGATGACAATAAAAAGAAGACAACCAACATTTCAGAGGAGGATTGAAAAATTTGAAGATAGCCAGGTGAAGCCAGAAAGCGATCATGAAGAGTCCTCTAGAAATAAAGATATCCAGGATCCCATTACAAGAGGTACTCAACATATCTACCTCATTTTTGTGGCACATCCGTCATCTCCATACAGGTTAGCAATTGCCCCAAGAACTACTTCGATTGCAATCTACTTGAGCTGTGCTGGTTACCCCTCCATGGAAAGCTGGATATGTTCAACCCGCAGGATGCGTTAGAACACTTGGATGATCACTCGCTGGAGTTTTGTTTTTTCTTTTGAAAGAAATGCGAAGAGACCAACATCCTCAAGGACACAGTGCAACGACAATGCAGTTGGAGGGAATCAAGCCGGATAGAGTGACTCTGCTAACGGTTGTCGACACCTTGGATCGGTCTTCTTTCCTCGGCTTTGGCAGGATCACGCTCGAGAACTGGGACTTGGAGGCCTCACCAGCCTCATGAACGCTGTCATGAGCATGTACTCGAGGTCTGGGAGCTTGGAAGAGGCAGTCCGAGTGTTTGCAGCAGGGATCTAGTTTCCTGGAACACTATCATCGGAGCCTATTTTGCAAGCTATCAACTTGTTCCAACAAATGCAGCTCCAAGGTTTTCTAACGGACAAGATTACGTTGCTAGCAATGCTCAAGGTTTGTTCAAATCCAAAGTTCTTTCTCCAAAGCAAACTGATCCATGTTTGTGTTGTAGAGCTTGGCGACGAGGAAGAGCTAGCCGCTGCCATCATGGTAATGTATGGCAAGTGTGGAAACCTAGAAGCCTCAGCCACAGTATTTAGCAGCAGCGCCTTCCAGCAAAGTCCGGCGACTTGGAACTCGAGGTTAGCAGCACTTAGCCGTCGACAAAAGCTCTTGTTCTCTACAGCTGTATGCCCCAAGGTGTGATGTCTGACAGAGTACCTTCTTTGCTCTTCTCGACGTAGCAGCCAATTTAGAAGCTCGACCGGTTGTGGAGGAACTCCACGGCCATATAATCCAGCGCAATTACGCTCGATATACGTTTGTAGACACTGCGCTGCTCAACACTTACAGCAAGTGCGGAAGGCTGGAGGAGGCACGTGTTAGAACTAAGCTGAACATGCACATAACCAGGGCAGGTAGCTCAGTGGCACCGGTGTAGGAGGTCCTGGGTTCAATCCTTGGCCTGTCCAAATCCATTTTCCAACATGGTATTGGAGCTATGGTTGGATGGTGTGTGGTAAGCATGAACTGGCAAGGATGTGTGGCGTATTCAACTTAGGGGGGAGTGTTAGAATTAAGCTGAACATACACACAACCAGGGCAGGTAGCTCAGTGGTAGAGCACCTGGCACCGGTGTAGGAGGTCCACACTCAGCCTTGGGGAACACAACGTTGTTTGCTGGACTGCCATGGTCTCCGCCTACACTGCCATGGTCTCCGCCTACAGGCAGCACGGGTTTCTTTGGAGAAGCGCTGCAGTACTTCCAACTCATGCAGCTCCAGGATGAAGCTCCAAACAAGGTGACAATGCCTGCCGTGCTGCCTGCTTGCTCGAAAGTGGAACTTGAACTGATGAACTCAAGAGCGGGATGCGGGTATACCGGCGCTGCGTCGAACTTGGACATGATCGAGAGAGCTCGTGGTTGGAAATGCCGCTCTGAGCGTCCATGCCAAGCTGGGAAAGGCCTGTGAGGTCTTCTCTAGGATGTGGACTCGCAACGTTGTCCATCCTGTCGGCCTGTGGTCAAGTCGGAGAAAGCAGAGAATGCCGGTGCCTGTTCCGAGATATGCTGCTGGCGACTCCAGACCTGACAAGTATACCTTCGTCACTATCCTCGGCGTTTGCAAGCAGAGCCGAGAGGATCTAAGCCATGGAAGGCTCCTCCATCAACTTGCCAGGGAGAATAGCAGCAGCCTGGCTCTTCTCGTCGCGACAGCCTTCGTTCACATGTACTCGGAATGTGGAAGCCTCGAGGACGCGGTGATGACTTTTGGCACGATACAGCAGCCCGATGTGGTGTCTTGGACTACGATGATCTCGGCCCTGTCGCACTATGGCGAGTTCCAGAGAGTTTTCGACTTGTTCCAGCGGATGAAAGACTCCAAAGTTGCTCCCGACAGCCTCACATTCGTTGCGGTCCTGAATGCATGCACCGCCAACTCGGAGCTCGAGCTTGGCCAACATGTTTTCTCCGAGGGCAGGATTTGGAGCAGAAGTCGCAGCAGCCGGCATCAACCTGTTTGAAAAGTGTGGAAAGCGCCGCAGTGGAAACGTTCCTGACGCTAGTGCCGCAAGAAAAAAGCTTGCTGGCTTGGAACGGACTGGCGACGGCGTTGACTGAAAGATCTAGCGAACTCGGTCGAGTGCTCGAGTGCATGCAGCTGTGGGGCATTGATCCGGACTCGGTGACTTTTTCTCTCCACTCTGAGTCATGCGCCTGCTACGTGTTGAGCTCCTTGAGCACGAGCCGGGCTGGATTTCTGGAGGAGGCCGAGGAGATGGTGGCCGTCAAACTTAGAAACAGGAGGCAGGAGCTTTCATCATCCCGAAGTAGCGGTGGCAGTGGTGATGACCCTCTCGTCGTTCTCTGGACGAGCTTCCTAGACGCGTGCGCTATCCATGGAGACTCGGAGCATGGGAAGCGAGCAGTGAAGAGAATTCTCGCGCGCCAGCCTGAGGATGCTGCAACGTAACATTGCTTCTCTGGGAAGACCGTAACTTGCTTGTGTCCTAAAGCTTGGGTAGAACGAAAGGAGGCCTAGTAACACTGGAAGTTAGACATACTAACTTGTTTCCAAAACTTTTACCTGTGGATCTATATTTCTTTCTCATGCGAATATGCGCTGTTGCCAGTGACACCCTGCATGTACAGAGAACTCCTGACCCTGCACACACGACGAATTAAGTTTCTTAAATCCGACTACGCTACGTGATTAACTTACCACCACTGTTGAAGATAGCAGCGAAGAGATGCATCGCCACTAAAACCTCGAACTTCCAGAGGCGCATTACCAACACTCTGATCGTGCTGCGCAAAGTCCCCAGGCAGTAGAGATGTAGCCGGAGAATCCACTTCTTTGGACAAAAGTGGCTGCCAAACAAAGAAAACAAAGAAGTTTAACGTTTGGAACTCTTGTTGAAATGATCAATGAACTTACCCATGGTATTGGAAGAGAGGCTCCACCGTCGAGACAAGCTGGACCTTGCTCGTCCCACACCATTAAAGTAGCTCCCTGCAAAAACAAGTTCAAAACTCCACAATCTGGAAAGAAAGAGTCGTAGCACCTGAGGAAGGCTTTGATTCGCCTGGGAGAGCGTTGGAGACTTTGCTGAAAACTCCAGCTCCAGAGTATCGTCTCCCGGTAGTATGCGTGTGCAAACCAAGGTGAGCTCCGCCTCGCCACCCTCGGTGAATGCGCCATGGACGCCTCCTTCCGGCCGAAGCTGCTGCTGCTGCTGCTTCTCCATTGCGAGACTCAAGCCAGATCGATGCTCCACTGCTGTCATGGTCTCGAGCTCGTTTTCATCGAGAGGAAGATCGCTGCTCGTGAGCTCCGGTATCTCGATGACTATATAGTCATCAAATGCGTGATCGCAGCGAGTATCGCGAGGTGAAGAGCTGTCCGAGTCAGGTGGATGCCACTTGACCACCTCCATCGCCATGATCTCTTTCTCGCGGAGATTCTCGCGGAGAAGAAGATTCAGATCCGCCGGCTCATGGCGACCAAGAGGTCGACGATCGTAGCAATGATCCGCTGCCACAACCGGTGCCTCGGTATCTCCCTGTACTTCCTCCACGGACTGGATCTTCGACTCTGGAAAATGTTAGCCCTCAAACTTTCAATCCGACATGAATGAATCGACTTACTGCTCAAGGATTGCCCCAGCTCGGGCTTCCGGAGCTCCTGTAGCTCCACCACCTTTTTATCATCCGGCTGTACGAGGCTGCGACACTGCCCCTGCGGTTAACGAGAGAAAAAAAGGAAAGGGAGAAACGGAGAATCAAGAGTAAAGACTCATAAAACTCACCTCGACGAGACCATCGATGTTAATAGCGAAGGAAGAGATCTCCTGGGCAGCAGCGAGGGATGTCTGCTTTGCGCTTCTTGTGGACCAAGAACAGGGCAGCCGCGATAACAAACGCAAAGAAGAGAAAGAAGAACATCATCTTATCTTTGAGACAAACCAAGCTTAAGCGCGACAGAGAAGAGAGAGAGCGCTTGAGAAGGCCCTCACACACACGACGACGCAGCTAAGTCAAAGAAGAAATCTTTGTCCCAAACCCCAATCACAGACCGACTTAGAAAATAATATGCTGAGCTGAAAGAAAATATACGCAATCAACTATTTGGAGAATGCTGAGCTGCCCTTAAGCCTTTCTTAAAGTAATCACGATTAAGCATCACTAATAAGTGCTCCCGTGCTTGCTATGGCGATGGAGCTTCGTACCTGGTGCTTACCATCGCTCCACACCATATATCCCCAAGCGCGGCCTCCTGGCAGCGCTGGAGATGGCTGCGTGAGCTTGAAGCTCACCGCGAACTGCTGCTTTTGTCCACTGCCTGAGAATGTGAGCCTCGAGGGCCACACGGAAACTGAAACTCCCGGTGGCGGCCTCACGAACGCCTCGTAAGTTGACGAGCAGTTTGCGACGCTGGTGAGCGTCCTCGTCACGCTCACAAGGCTGTTCGCGTTGAGCCTGGCGATTCCGATCGATGGATAGTTGAAGTTGCTCACTGGTTCCTGGTGGACGGGACACGAGAAGTTATCCTGGCCTGAGATTTTGCGGACGGTGCTGGTGTTGAACTTGAGGCTGCAGAGCAGCAGAAGATAATCCTGGGGAGCAGCGTCGTAGACCAAGCCGGGGTCCGCTGCTGCGTTGGGATCGACGTGACCCGAGCCAAAGTTGAAGGCACCGGCGACTTGAGAATCATCCGCGAGGATGAGCTGCTCGCGGTTGTCCCGAGATCTTGCTGTTTCGAGGCGATTAAGTCAGTACTATACAAAGAAACAAGAAACTCTCACCGGTAGTGACTATAGCTGACATGATCGCAGCTGGACTCCACTCGGGATACAAAGCTTTGAGCATGGACGCGACGCCAGAGACGTGAGGACAGGCCATGGACGTCCCAGAGGCTACGAAGAACTTGAGAGCTCGAGTGCTGTTGTTGGTTATGGGAGATGCTGCCTCGGAAAACGATGCCAGGATGTTTACACCAGGAGCAGTGACGTCCGGCTGCATTTTAGAAATTGATCATGACTTGAGCAAGAAAAAATGGATAGCGACCTTTAGGATGTCGGGGATGAGCATGTTGGGCCCGCGGGACGAGAAGGGAGCCATAGTTGGAGCCGGTTTGATGCCGGTGACAGTAGTGGAAGCTGTGAGAGTTGCAGTCGGCGAGCTACAAAAGCATGTCTAGAACTTTAGCCTTTCAAGAGCATCTCGAGGACGCACCTTGACGCATTCAAGTATGCAAAGATGGCTGCGGCAGCTTCCGAGTTGACGTTGGTTGCTGGAAGGACGTGAAAAGTAGCCTGCGTTTGGCTCCCATCCGACGGAGAATTCGCCAGGATCATCCCAACGCCTCCAGCAAGCTGCACGACTTGTCCTTTGAAGAGTTGGCTGCCCGAGCCGCGCAAGCAAACGACGATCTTCCCTTTGGCCTTCTCCGGATCCAGCGAGCCCGCATTGCACAAGAGGCTGGTGACGAGAGGCAAGCATGCTTAAGTGGAGATGCAAAAGTTCTTTAGACTTGCCTGTCGGAGGCATTGGAGGAGGAAGCCGGGATGGCACCACCGGAGATGAGAGGATACTGGTGAGCTCCATCCTCAAGCTTAAACTCGGACATACTGCTTCCCTTCGAGACACATAAGAGACGCATGAGCAAAAGATGGCATGGTAGCAAAACAGATTACTCGGAACGTCGAGTTGTCGCCGAGAACAACCGTGGAGCAAAAGTCCCGGTCAGTGCTGCTGGCAGCAACAGTAAGGACCCAAGGTGCTACGTTGACAACGCTTCCGAAGGCTGGCCCCCCGTTTCCAGCCGAGCAAACGACAGGGATTCCCTTCTGGACAGCGTGATATGCACCGATGGATATGGCGTCCTGAAAGAGCTGCGAGAGAGGCTGCGAGCCGCCGAGCGAGAGAGTGAGAATGTCGACGCCATCCTGGATTGCGTCGTCCATCGCAGCGAGAATATCAGCATCGTAGCAGAGAGTACCAGTCGCTTCCTTCTGCCAGCAGACTTTATAGACGGCAAGCCTCGCGAGTGGCGCTCCTCCTTTGGCTGTCCCATTGCCGAGGCCCAGGAAGCTTGCTTGCGGGACGAAGCGGCCTCCAGCTATGGAGGAAGTGTGAGTCCCGTGGCCTTTTTTGTCTCGTGGAGATTTGAAGTCCCCAGTCGAGTTCACGTTGAGAGGACCATTTTCCAGCTCGAAGCCTTTGATGTAGTACCTGGCACCGATCAACTTCCTGAAGAAACCAGCTGTTAGCTCTTTTTTTCTTCGTGATCTTTTGTAAATTAACCTGTTGCAGTGAGATGTGTTGAACGCTGTGCCACTTACACACTTCCCTTTCCATTTGCTTGGCACGGCATCGAAGCTCTCGTCGTTTAAACTTTCTGACTCGGGCCAAATTCCTTCAAGAAAAGAACTTAAATCTCTATAGTCTTCCTCGTTATTGCCATACCTGTGTCAAGAGATCCAATGATCACATCTTTGCCGAAGTTGGATCTGCTCCACAAAGAAGACGCTGGAATCTCACCACCCTGTGACTCTAGTTGCATGAAGTCCCAGCTATGAGTTGTGTGTAGGTAGTTTTCCTTGTTCGGAAAAACGGACAAAACTCCAGGAATTCCTAGCGAGCGGCAGCAGGATTTCAGCTCAGGAGCAAAAAGAGAGAAACGTACTTGAAATGTCGGCAGCTTGCTCCGGGCGTAACTTAGCAGCAAATCCATTGAAGCCATGAGTGTAGCTGTAGAAGATGGCCCTTTGGGCAGCCCGGAGACTGGAATCCAACACAAGCTTAGGAAATCTTGTCTCGTGTGAAGAAAAAACATTTCACCTCTGGAAGACGGGCCGCAAAATTTCTTGGTGGGAAGCAACAAGCTTCTGTTTGTCTACAGTTTCAGGACTGCTTCCAAGGTACACAATGTAGCTCTGCAAAGAGAAACGAAAAGCTGGAAAAACTATCAAATACTCTCTGTTGTACCTGTGAGGGAGACGCCGAAGATATCTCCAAGCCAAACTCGAAGCTCACTAGAACCAAAACCAGTAAAGTGGCTCTCAAGAGTTCCATGAACCTCCTCTTCCACAACTGAGGTTTCTCGAGAGCTTTTCTCAAGAAAAAACCAGCTCGAGCTTTGCTTCCAAGCGAGGGATGTCATGATTTGCGTCGAGGAGTGATGCGTAATCCAGGAACAGGAGCTACAGGAGTTCTCTGCTGCTGCTGGTTAATGTTCGAGAGGAGGATGTAGGCCGCTACGTTCTTGGGATCCTTTTCCAGTGCCAGAGCCGCGGCCTCCCTCCCAAACTCCACGCTGTTGTGACTCGAGCAAGCTCCAAGGAAGCAGCTCCAGTCCACAACGTCGGCCTCAAAAGGCATGCTTTGGATCAAATCACTGGCATCAGTCAGGTATCCAGCTCGTCCCAGCAGATCGAGAAGGCAGCAGTAATGCTGCTTGGTGGCTCTCAATTCAAAGTCTCCAACCATGGACAGGAAATACGATCTTCCATCGCGAACTTTGCCGTGGTGAGTGCAAGCCGCCAGGATCGAAAGGAAGCAAACATGGTCGATCTTTTGCTCCGCCAGCTTGATCTCGTCAAAGAGTAGCTTCGACTCGTAAAGCTCCCTGTTGTGAGCAAACGCTGCCAGGAGCACGGAGCGGCCAACTAGGTGTTGATGTGGCATCCGACTCAGCAGCTTCTCCGCCACGTCAAGATGCCCGGCCTGGGCAATTGCTCCCAGCATTAACGCCCACGTCGTAGCGTCCCTCTCCGGCATGGAATGGAACGTCTGTGTTGCCTGGTCGAGTTGGCGCCACTTGGCATACACACTCAGAATCGTGTTCCAAGCTGGCAGTATCGTCTGCGGCATTTCATTAAATAACTGGACAGCCTCCTCCAGATGCCCGGACGTGGCATATGCGGTCAACATGGAACTCCACGTCGTCAAGCTCCGCCACTCCATCCTGTCGAATATTCTCTGCGCCTGATCCAAATGCCCAACATTGGCATATGCCGTCAGCAGTGACGTGTACGAGATAACATCGTGCTCTGGCATCGAGTTGAACAGCCGCAGTGCCGCGTTGGGCAAGCCGCTGTGTGCGTGGCACGCCAGCATGGCGTTGAACGAGCTGAGGCTGTGATGTGGCATCGCGCGGAAGAGCCTCTCGGCCTCGTCGGCGCAGTCGGCTGCCACGTTGGCCGCCAGCAGGGCGTTCCACGCCACCACGTTTTGCTCCGGCATCTGATCAAACAGCCGCTTTGCCACGTTGGAGTCACCATGGTGGGCATTTGCAGCAATGAGGAGCGTCCACGCTACCAGGTTGCGCTGGGGCATCCGATCAAAGATTAACTTTGCTCTTACCAGGTTGTCGTCGTGGCAGTAGCCCGCCAGCATGGACGTCCACGCCACCATGTCCCTGGCGGGCATCTGTTCAAACAGACCCCTCGCTAGAGCAAGAAGCCCATTTTGGGTATATACCGCCAGCATTAGCGACCACGCGATAAGATCCCTCTCGGGCATCTCGTCGAAGACGCGCTTCGCCCTAGAGATCTGGCCGTGATGCCCGTACACCTCTATCAGCGTGGAGAAATAGATCATATCGCGCAGTGGAGCTGTGGCAAAGAGCTCCTCCGCTTGATCCAGATGCCCATTCCGAGCAAATGCCGCGGTCATGGATGTCCAGATGATGAGATTCCTCTCCGGCATTCCATCGAACAGCGCCTTGGCGAGATCGATCTGGCCGTCCTGCGCGAGTGCGTTGATCAACGGGGTGAAGGACAGCAGGCTCCAATACGGCATCGAATCGAAGATTTTCTTGGATAGGCGCGCGTTGCCCGATTGCGCGGACTGGGCGAGGAGCGCATTGCAGGAGATTAGAGTGTCTGGCAGCGCCATCGCGGAGCCCGGGCATCGCAAGAACCCTAGGTCAATCACAGTCGTCGGTTTCAAACATATCGGGGCCGTTGTTGGACACGCCACGAAGGGACACGAGCGCTTTGGGGCAGCTCTTGCGCGAGCGATGAATTAGGGTTCTTAGTTCTTCTTCCTGAGAGGAGCGGGAGATGATCGAGGCCTGGGGGATTTTGCGGCCAGAATGGGCCTGCTACTGTGGAACAAGCTCGTCGCGACGGTCGCGTCGGGGATCGCCGCGGGCGCCGTGTACGTGACCGCCAAGCTCACATTCTCGCTCTTCGTTTGGGGGCTCTACGCAGGCGCGGCATTCCTCTCGGCAAAGCTCCTGTTTGGAAGATTGAGCGGCGGCGGCGGCAGTCGGCCTCCATTCTGGTAAAGAATCTCTCGCAAGCGCGACACTAGGGTTCTCGTAAGCGAAGCGCCAAGATTTCTTGATGGTAAGCTCCGTAAATTTCCTATCCAGTAGCTCCAATCCGATCTTCTTGCAGGATCATCACCCACACTACTACCGAGGACGCGATGGATTGCCGCATTTCGCCGCCATGGACTCGCTGGATCTCAATCTCCACCTAGCGCCGCCCCCAGCAGCCGTGCATCCGGCCGCGACGCCGCCATATCCACTGTGGCAGCCATCGCGATCGGAGCTCATGGGCCACGGCATGTTTAACTTCCAGCCTCTGCCGACGCCACAGCCGATCTGGACGAGGTTCTTCCTCGAGTATCCGCCCAGCCCCAGCCCGCCATCGCCAGGGGAGATCGACTTTAGCAACCCGTACCACTACCACGACTACCACCACGAACACCACTCGCCCTTCTGGGGGATGGATTTCTCCGACGTTGACTCTGGGCAGGAGCTCGACCTGGATCTCTCGCCGCTCCTCCACGATCACTTTCTCCGCGAGGAAGACGACGAGCTGGAAGCGGCATTGCTCGAGGGAGAAGAGCAGCACCCTCAAGAAGATGGCGATCGAGATCACGAGCACGATTGGTGGGGCGCCAGGAGCAGCAGCGCTGCTACGACCACCAGATTGAATTCAAGCGGCAGAGCGACACCGGCAGCAGCAGTGGCGGCGGTGGCTGCCACTGAAGCTCCACAGTCATCGTCCTCAAAGTCTCAATATCTCCCGAGGAAGAAGAACAGCGCGTCAGCTTCTTCGCTGGATTTGAATCCCCAGCAGCACCAGCAGCAGCAGCAGGATGAAGATCAAAGCCAGGCCAAGCTACTCTGCGACGATCAAGAGCAACAGCAGCAGCGATCCGGATCCGGGAAGGAGTTCTTCTTCGATTGCAACGTTTGCTTCGATGTGGCGAGCGAGCCGGTGGTGACGAGCTGCGGCCACCTCTTTTGCTGGCCCTGCCTCTACCAGTGGCTCCACGTCCACTCCCACAACGACGAGTGCCCGGTCTGCAAGGGCGCCGTCTCGGACGCTGACGTCATACCCATCTACGGCCGCGGCGGCGACGGCGGCGCCAGCGTGGAGCGATCCTGCCCATCTGCCAACATATTCGCGCAGCACATCCCGGCCCGGCCGCGCGCCCGCCGGGCCGACTCGGTCCGGCTGCGCCAGCCTGGCACCGACGTGGCGCTGGCGGAGATGCTGAGGTGGCGGAGATTCATGCGCATGTGGCACCAGCACACCAGCCGTCTGATGCTGGAAAGGCGTGGCGCGATCGACGGTGGGGGGCGGCCGGCGATGGCGCCGGCGTCCATGATCGACCAGCTCCACCACCAGTGGCCATACAATGTGGCCAGTACGGAACTAGAGCGGCGGATGTAAGGAGAGAGCCAGGGAATATGCTTCGGGTGGATATGAAACGCCGGTTTCTATTTTGTTATTTGAATTGGCCGGGATTTGGTGGGAAAACGAAACATAGGGTTCTTTAAGAGAGCGAGGAGGAAGTATCGTCCAGGGCGCCCAGCGGTGAGTGCGTTTCTTGATCGGTTCTGGCCTGGAAAGGAGTGATTATGGCTGGCGCTGGCGCCGCGAGGCAGAGCAGGCGGCGGACCAAGCCAGCTGCCGCGGCGGACACGGAGGCGGCGGCGGCGATCGAGGCCCAGCGTGCTGCTGTTGCTGCCGCTACCAATCTTCCTCTTCCTTCATTCAATTTTGCTACCAAGGAGGCGCTCCCGACCAGGACTGTGGCCGCGTCCAGGGCGAAGGCGCTCAAGGAGAAGAATGCCGCTGCCGACGCGGCGGCTCCTGCCGCTAAGAAGAACCTTCAGGTAGAGTTCCAGGATTCTTGCCAGGAGATCCGCAAGAGCTGGGAGTTTTTCTCCGCCGCCAAGGTGTTTCTCCTCCTCTTCGCGGCTGCGGGGATAAGCACCACGCTGTTGAGCCTCCGCGAGAGCGATCAAGGGCAGCTTCTCCCAGAGACGCCCACGGCAGCGAAGGTCTCGGAGGTGGAGGATTTCATGAGGAAGACGAGCAAGTGGTTGCAAGTGCAGCTGGATGTGGTGGACGACAAGATCGGCAAGGAAGTGTCGGGCGTTCGATCGGAGCTGGAGGAGAAGCTGTCGGAGAGGACCCGGGGCTTCGAGAAGGACATTGGAAGCATCAAGGCTCAGGTCCAAAAGGTGGACAACTCGCTCAAGATGCTCTACAGCCAGGAGCTCTTGTCCAGGGAGGAGACTTTGGAGCTCGTCAAGTCGGCCATGGACCAGCGCGCTCGAGAAGGGAGTGACAAGGCCATTAGCCTGGACGACGTGCGCGCAGCCGCGAGAAAGGTGGTGCAGAGTGAACTGGAGACGCATGCCGCGGATGGGATCGGGAGGGTGGATTTTGCTCTGGAAAGTGGTGGAGGAAAGGTGGTTCATCACTCGGACGGCTACTTCCAGGGGCTGCACTGGACCAGGCTGGGGATTCATGTCCTCCCGGGTGTTTTTCGGAGGCACCCGATGGCTGATAGGCTTCTCCGGCCCAGCTTTGGAGAGCCCGGGCAGTGTCTGCCTCTCAAAGGCAGCAATGTGACAGTGGAGATCAGGCTGCGGGCTCACATTTTTCCAGAAGCGGTGACATTGGAGCACTTGTCTAAGGTAACGCAAAAGTTGATTTTCTCTTTGTGTTTCTCGGTCTAACAGCTGGCTTTCTCAGAAAGTAGCCTATGACCCAAGAAGTGCACCCAGAGATTTCGAGATCTTTGCTTGGCGTACTGTGAAAGACGACGTTCTCGATGCCAGGAACGTTACTTCTCTTGGGAGGTTCACGTATGATCTCGACAAAGGAAGCATCCAGACATTCGATCTTTCCGACAAGCCGACATCCTCAGTCAACATGATCCGGTTGCACGTCCTCTCAAACTACGGCAGTCCGACGCACACTTGCTTGTATCGGTTGCGAGTACATGGCACTGAGGACGGAGTTATGGCTTGAGGAAACAGATGGGAGGCGCTTGTACAGTATGGTAGAGTTAGAGGGAGTTGCTATAGGGTTTTGGCAATGGCAGTGAATGCTAGGCAGTCGGCTCCGCCTCCTACATTTCTGGGTGCTGGTGACAAGACAAGGAAAAAGGTGGGATCACTCTGCTCATCTTGTTCACCGAGTTTTGGCTCCGAGGATCAGGCTCCTGAGTTTGTGAGAGGCAAGCTTCTTAGTGAACTATCGACTTGGGGCATTGGCGGAGCTGCGCGGCTCTTTGTAGAAGTCCGAAACAGAGAGCAGCTCGTTTCTTCTATAAGGTATGTTGTTTTTTTTTTCACTGTCTCTGTCGTAGTTTAGCATTTCCTTCACAGGCACTGCCGCGAGCACAACCTCAAGTTCCTGGCTCTGGGAAAAGGATCCAATTGCCTCTTCGACGATCGCGGATTCGACGGCTGTGTAATCCTCAGTCGGATCAACGACATGCACGAGAATGGCTGTGGACGCTACCGAGTTGGCAGTGGCTATCCTTTCAATCTCCTGGGCATTCACACGTCAAAGCAGGGTTTCGGGGGGCTCGAGTTTGCGTCTGGCATTCCTGGGACTGTAGGCGGGGCAGTGTTTATGAATGCTGGAGCTGATGGCCAGGTATGTCTTTGATCCTTCCATGTTTTCAAGTAAGTAAAACCCGAGCATCAACTTGTTGCGCCTAGGAAACAATAGAAGTTCTCGAGGCGGTGGAGTTCGTCGACACGAACGGACAAACACGCGAGCTGCTGAAGAAACAAGGAGAGCTTGCCTGCAGCTACCGGAAGTCTCCATTCCAGGGAATGCCAGACCTTGGAGCCATTCTCTTCGCCACCTTCCAGCTCCAGCCGTGCCCTCTCTCTCGCGACAGGCAAAGAGACTATCTCGCCAGGTGAGAGCTCAGCCTTCTCCCATCACTTCCATCTAACATCACGACCTTCCGGCAGGAGAAAGCAAACCCAGCCAGTGAACGAGCGAAGCGCAGGGTGTGTGTTTCGAAATCCAGGCAAGGGGTGCCAATCAGCGGGAGCCTTGATAGAGGCCGTGGGGCTCAAAGGGCTGAGGATTGGAGGAGCAAAGGTGTCCGAGCTTCACGCCAACTTCTTGATCAACACGGGCGGCGCCAAAGCCAGCGACGTCTTGTCCCTCATCTCGGTGATCAAGGACCGCGTGAGAGCCGAGAGTGGCATCCAGTTGGAGCAGGAAGTACGTTACATCCCGTACTAGAAGCTCCCTCCTCCACAACCAGGTACACGGGAGAGAGAAAAAGGAAGCTTTCATTCTCAATGTCTAGTGTTTGCTTTTCTTTTTGTTCATGCTTCCTTCTCCTTCCAAGATGTGAGTGTAATCCTCGGCACTTGCATATAGAGATTTTCTCTTTGACCCCGTTGATCCATCTTGTGTCCTGTTCTTCGCGCCCCTTCTGTTCTTGTTCTTCGTCTTGTCCTTCGTATCCTCCAGGAAGATCTCATCGAACTCGTCATCATCGGAGCTCTCATCTTCATCGTCGGGTACGTTCTTTGCGCTCTTCTTCTTCTTCTTCTTCTTACTGTTTTTCTTGTCTACAACCAGAACCTCGGGTAGCTTCTCGTCGTCGTCGGATGAATCATCGTCGTCGTCCTGCAGATCAAACTCTGCACCCTCCGAGTCATTTTCATCGAGCAGTCTATCGATTTCTTCCTCTTCCGAATCGCCTTCGTCGTCTACCAAACCAGCATCACCACCTTCTTCATCTTCATCACCGCCTTCTTCATCATCGCTGCTAAGTTCTTCGTCACTTCCAACCATGTCGTCATCAAAGTCCTCGAGCGCTTTCTTTTTCTTCTTCACGCGTTTGCCCATAGCCTCGGCCTTTGCGCGGTAAAACCTGTGGAAGATCAGATCCGATGGAGCAACGTCGTCTTCCGCCAAGGACGCCAACTTCATGCCCATGGGCGCATTTGAAACAGCCTCCTGGAATCAAAGCTTCATGAGTGAAAAGAAGTAGAAAAAAATTTGGTCACCTTTTTGGTACTGTCAATCCCGATCTTGCGAGCTTTCGGCTTCCTTTCAGCGAAACGATCCAGAAAAGCGGTGAAGGCAAGGTCCTGAATTGGGTCACCGGAGTAAACAACCGCGGCATTTGAGAGAATCGTTTTGGCCATTGTTGAAACGGATGGATGAATGTGTGATGCGAGGATGGCAAGCTCCCACCAACAAGTCTGATCGGCTTTACTGCACAGATCATGATGTGAGATATATTTTTTTTTAAGAAACCCACACTTACCAGTGGAGTGGATCACGATGTCGAGGATCATAACCTTTCGAGTTACGAGTATTTTTCGCAGCTTCGGCCAGCAGCGGACTAGCTTTAGCTGTAGGCATGGCCTGCATTTTCTTCCCAGTTTCTTTTCTGTTGAATTCAGTCTCGCTGTCACCGTCTTCTCCAAGCGCCGCTGCCATTTCAACGTCTACATCGATCTCTGAATCGCTATCGTCACGCAAAGGCTCTTTGCTAGCAGCATCTGGCAGCAACGCAGACACATCTTGGTTCTCCGGTAGTTCCACGTCCTTGAAGTGTTCGACGTCATCGCCTTGGCTTGCAGGTTCTAAGATAAAGTTCCTGTAAACATTACAAAGCATTAAAAACATGAAAGTCTTTGAAACAAAATGAGCATCGCCCACCATAGAATGTGTTTGGCCTTCAACACCTCTGACAAAAGCACCAGAAAAGCGCATCCTAGCTCGGGCGATTGGTGTACAGCTACCTGAAATAGACCCTGAAAACGCCACAAAAAAACTATCTTGAAGATACCTGCATGAGACGCTTTATAAATCCACAAGTCCGACTCGTGCTTACGTCGGACCTCAGAACCTTAAAAACTAGAGCAAGATACATCTCAATCTGAAACGCCACATATTAAAACATCTCTAGCAACAGTTCCTCGAGGAATCTCACCTTAGAAGATTTTAGAAGCGCAGGCGAAAGCATAACAGAATAAAGAGCACGGTAGAAACGTTCGCTGACGGTTTGATGCTTAGCGAGAATCTGATGCAAAAGGAGAAGAGCTTGCACTGCGACGTTAAAATTTGTAGAGTGTGCCTAAACAAAAGGCGCCATTTAGATCGCCATTTAGATCGACAAGAAAATCCTTACCAGAAGGAACAAGGACGGCGTGTGTTCCTCAATAATGTTTTCAGCGCTGTCCTCGGTTACGAATCGAAAAGCCTTGTTTACTCCCTACAGAACACAGTAAAAAAGGTACAAGGATGCCGTGAGCAAGACTTACTGTCAAAAGCGACGATATTAATCGCGAATCGAGAGCTGAAGCTTCGCTGTTGGAATTATCTTCATTTGTAGCGCCCTCAGACTGCTTTCGTGGTTTCTTTTGCGGATTTGTATCTTTCTTCATTCCACGACTGGTGATGGTCTAAGCATTCAAAATTGATCCTTTCAAGAAGAAACAGACAGCCAAGCATACCTTAAACATTACAAAATAAATGTCGATCAGTTGTTTCGCAAGATTTGGGCCTTCGCCTTTATAGCTTAGTCGTAATTGGTTCATGAACACGGACTAGGAAATGGAACAGATTAGTAACATTTTGCAATTTGAAAACGAAATGAGCAAACAAGAAATTACCGCATAGTAAATTGCGCGCATTCCAAGATTTGGCCGAAACATAAATGCCTCCACTTCGTTCAACACTACTTTCTGCAACAAAAATATGAGCCACTAGCTCAAATGAATCTGAGGTATCAGTTACCGTCATATTGGGATGTTCTTTCAAAAGGCACGACAGAAAATAACCAGCATTGGAGGCAGCCTTTCTCTCAGGATCACCAAGCTGCCCGTAACGAGCGTAAACAATGCAGCTGAAATAACTGTAAGTAATACCTTGTTAACGACAGCTGAGAGCAGCTTCTTTTCTTGTTCCGGTTTCGCCTTCAAGAGTTCGTACAGAGTCTATGGAAACTATTCTTAAGCGGGAAAATGTAGAATTTCACCGAACGAGTACCTTCACTGTTTTCAGCTTAAGGTAGACAAGCGCATCTTTGGTTCCCTCTATAACAGCATTCACGAACTTCTCGTACCTGGATAAAACAATCAGTCAGTGAGCAAGCAGGGCAACAGATGAAAAATCACAGAAGACCTCTCTTTAATGCAATCCTCCCAAAACCACCACAAAAGGAGAATTGCACCTTCTTTGGTTTCAGGCAAAGTCGCGAGCGGTTGCCGAGCAAAATATGTCAGTTTCCGATCTGGCAACAAGCTGACGCCTGGTTAAGTTAAAATCTCAAGAGGAAAACAATCAAACTTGGAAGCCTACCTCATGATAAACAATTCTTTCAAGACGTCTAGCCCGGACAAGGCGTGTCGTTTGCCTCCCTTCGAGGTAACCATTGCTGAAAATGAAGCGTTACCACAAACCCAAGACACACACTCGCACCAATACTTACCGAGAAGCGAGTCCAGCGTCTGAAGATTTGCCACAGGATTTTCCTGGATCAAGATAGTCATGGCAGCAACTTTGTCTCCAGAAGTCCCCGACCTGCGAGCCGATTGGATCATCCTCATGTCACTGCTGTTCCGCCTTGATCTCTCGAACTCCACCGCAACCAGCTGGAGCAATGCCTCGGCCTCCTTGCGTTTCAGCTGGACAAAACCATCAGCCACCTCTTTCTCCGGTTCCACGAACTGGATAGCCGACGAAATCCCCGCGGCAGTCTCGTACCATTTCTCGCCACTTCCAGCCCAGCGCGAAAGCGAGTGAACGACATCCTTCCCAAACCTGACCTTGGCTACGCTCACATTTACTTTCTTCGCCTCGTTCTTCCAATCCTCGGCCCTTGGCTTCGGTGGAGGCCATTTCCTAGCTTGAGAGCCCGCATTTCTACCATCTCTTCTACTGTTACCTCCGGTTTCCTTCTTCTTCCTGGGGATCCTCTGGGATTTCTCGGCCTTGTCGGGATTTCTGGCGGTGCCGCGCTTCAGAGGCCCCTTCTTCCGGAAATCCGCATCATTGAAGCCTACCTGCGACGACGCGAGCCCCAAATTCGCAGCGAACGAGGCGACATCGGCTTTCAGCGCCTCGTCACTCATTCCTTAAACCCTAGTCTATAAACCCTAAAACCAGATTTCTTAAAGGACCAGCTGGCATTCTTTAGGGGCTAAAATCATATCGTTCTAGGGCTAAGTCGGCCATTTTTATTTTTATTGGACTGCGTGTGTGTGGGCACTCCTCTCTCTCTCGCGCGCGCCAAGCTTCGCTTGTCTCAAAGATGGTGTTCTTCTTTCTCTTCTTTGCGGTGGTTATCGTGGTGGATTTTTCTGCCCTTTTCTTGGTCCACAAGGAGTGGAAGCTCGCCAAGAGGACATCCCTCGCTGCAGCCCAGGAGATCTCTTCAATCGCTATTGACATCGACGCTCTTGTTGAGGTGAGTTTAAGGGTCTTTCTCTCTTGAATCTTGATTCTCTGTTTCTCCCTTTCTTGTTTTTTTGGGTTCTTGCTCGCTAACCTCTTTTCTGCGCAGGGGGCCGCCCGAGCTGCAGCTCATTCTCCGTGATGACGAAAAGGTGGTGGAGCTACAGGAACTCGCCCAGCGCTTGGGCATGGAAGTCACCAGTAAGTGGATTCATTCATGTCAACTGATTAAAACTTTGGGCTGACATTTCGGAAGCGCAGGGAGATATGGAGGCAGCGGTGGATCATATAGATCCACAGGTAAAAGTTTCGAGAACAAGTTACTATGTCTGACTTCCAGTGTTACTCTTTAGGACACAAGCAAGTTACGTTCCTCCCAGAGAAGCAATGTTGGACAAGACTACGTACGTTGCAGCATCCTCAGGCTGGCGCGCGAGAATTCTCTCCACTGCTCGCTTCCCACGCTCCGAGTCTCCATGGATCCCGCACGCGGCTAGGAAGCTCGTCCAGAGAACGACGAGAGGGTCATCACCACTGCCACCGCTACTTCGGGATGATGAAAGCTCCTGCCTCCTGTTTCTAAGTTTGACGGCCACCATCTCCTCGGCCTCGTCCAGCAATCCAGCCCGGCCGAGCACGTCGATCACGCAGCAGTAGTGAGTAGCCGATGGAGTAAGGCCGTGATCCGTGCTCATGGAGCTCAACTGGTAGCAGCAGGCCTCCACGAATCCGGCATGACTCAGTGTGGAGAGAACGCTCACGAAAGTCACCAAGTCCGGATCAATGCCCGATAGCCGCATGCACTCGAGCACTCGGATCACTTCGCTCGGCCTTGCGCCGTGAGCCAACGCCGTGGCCAGTCCGTTCCAAGCCAGCAAGCTTTTCTCGTGTGGCACTAGCGTCAGGAACGTTTCCACTGCGGCTTCCAGCTTTCCACACTTTCCAAACAGGTTGATGCCAGCTGCTGCGACTTCTGCTCCAAATCCTGCCCGGACTGCCTCGGAGAAAACACGTTGGCCAAGCTCGAGCTCCGAGTTGGCGGTGCATGCATTCAGGACCGCAACGAATGTGAGGCTGTCGGGAGCAACTTTGGAGTCTTTCATCCGCTGGAACAAGTCGAAAACTCTCTGGAACTCGCCATAGTGCGACAGGGCCGAGATCATCGCATTCCAAGACACCACATCAGGCTGCTGTATCGTGCCGAAAGTCGTCGCCGCGTCCTCGAGGCTTCCACATTCCGAGTACATGTGAACCAAGGCTGTCGCGACGATAAGATCCAGGCTGCCGCTGCTCTCCCTGGCAAGTTGATGAAGAAGCCTTCCATGAGTTAGATCCTCTCGGCTCTGCTTGCAAACGCCGAGGATGGTGATGAAGGTATAGTTGTCAGGTCTGGAGTCGCTCTCCAGCAGCATATGTCGAAACAGGCACCGGCATTCCCTGCTTTCTCCGACTTGAGCACAGGCCGACAGGATGGAGTTCCAGCTGACAACGTTGCGTGTCCACATCCTAGAGAAGATCTCACGGGCCTCCCTCAAGTTTCCCAGTTTGGCATGGACGCTCAGAGCGGCATTTCCAACCACGAGCTCTCGATCATGTCCAAGTTCGACGCAGCACCGGTATACCCGCATCACGCTCTTGAGTTCATCAGCTTCAAGTTCCACTTTCGAGCAAGCAGTCAGCACGGCAGCCATTGTCACCTTGTTTGGAGCTTCACCCTGGAGCTGCATGAGTTGGAAATACAGCAGCGCTTCTCCAAAGAAACCGTGCTGCCCGTAGGCGGAGACCATGGCAGTCCAGCAAACAACGTTGCGGTCTCCAAGGCTGAGTGTTTCAAATACGCAACGTGCCTCCTCCAGCCTTCCGCACTTGCTGTAAGTGTCGAGCAGTGCAGTGGCTACGAACGTATCTCGAGCGTAACCACGCTGGATTATATGGCCGTGTAGTCCCTCCACAACCGGTCGAGCTTCTAAAGTGGCTGCTACGTCGAGAAGAGCAAGGAAGGTAACTCTGTCAGGCATCACACCTTGGAGCAGCATACAGCTGTAGAGAACAAGAGCTTCTGTCGACTGTCCCTCTTGACTCAGTGCTGCTAACCTCGAGTTCCAAGTCGCCGGACTTTGCTGGAAGGCGCTGCTGCTAAATACTGTGGCTGAGGCTTCTAGGTTTCCACACTTGCCATACATTCCCATGATGGCAGCGGCTAGCTCTACCTCGTCGCCAAGCTCTACAACACAAGCATGGATCAGTTTGCTCTTGAGAAAGAACTTTGAGTTTGAACAAACCTTGAGCATCGCTAGCAACGTAATCTTGTCCGGTGGAAAACCTTGGAGCTGCATCTGTTGGAACAAGTTGATAGCTTCTTCGTAGTGTGCATGATGTACGTAGGCTCCGATGATAGTGTTCCAGGAAATTAGATCCTTGCGAATTTCTGCAAACACTTGGACTGCCTCTTCCAAGCTCCCACACCTCGCGTACATGTTCATAACAGCGTTCATGAGGCTGGCGAGGCCCCCGAGTCCCAGTTCTCGAGCGTGAGAATGGACCATCCTGCCCACGGCGAGGAAACAAGAGCGATCCAAGGCGTCAACAATCGTCAGCAGAGTCACTCTATCCGGCTTGATTCCCTCCAGCTGCATGAGTCCGAAGTACTGCATCGTCGTAGCACTGTGTCCTTGCTTCGTGCTCGCAGCCATCCTTCTTGTCCACAAGACAACGCTGTCGTGGTGAGGAGCATAGTTGAACAGCACGTCCAGATTCTGCCCCTTGGAGTAGAGGCTAAAGATTGCTGCTTCCACCCGGACGTCTGCATGGAATCCTTTCTCGATAGCCTGCTCGTGAAGAACCCGGCCCTGTTCCAAATCCCCGAGACCACTGCAAGCGTTGAGAGCCTTGACAAAGCTCGACCTGTCCGGCTCCACGTCCATCTCCTGAAAGAGCCTCAGCACTTCTGAGTAGTCAGACCTCCGCATATAAACGTCCATCATCGCATTCCAAGTTCTCACGTCCTTGGCGAGAACACCCTCAAAAACCTGCCGCGCATGGCCAAAATCCGGATGCATTGAGACGAGAGCAGTTCCAACGATGGTCTCGCTGTCCCTGCCAGTCTCCACGGCGATGGAGTGGAGTAAGCGAGAGGCTCGGCCTCGATCTTCCAGATTCCCGCAAACGCTGATCACCGTCGCGAGTGTGGGACTATCCGGAGGGACTCCTTCCAGCAGCATGGTGTGAAAAACCGAGAGAGCCGAGTGGAAGTGGAATTCTCGAGCGAGAGTGCCTATCATGCTGGTCCATGGAACCGGGCCGCGGTTGGGCATTTTGTAGAAGGAGCGCTGGGCCTCGTCGGGGCGACCACAGGCGAGATACATGACCACAAGCCTGTTTCCAAGGAACACGTTAGAATCCAGCGCGAGGTTGGAGATGCGAGCATGAACCAGCAGACCTTGGTGGAGATCCTTGCTCGCCGCGCAGGCATCCAGGAGCTGCGCATAGTCGTCGGGCGATATTTCGGCCCGCCTCTCGACAGACGATCCATGATGAAATTCAGTGCTGTGGGCAGCATTGGAGAGATCTTGTCCCGGAGATCGATTCCTCAAAGATATGATTCCTGAGAATCGAGACTTACTGCGCAGCATTCGCTAGCTCATCGCCGCCCTCGCTCCAAATGCCGGATCGACTTGAGAATGCCGCTCCGCATAAACCCTAAGGGAGGGTTTACCACGTGTCACGCTTGAATTTGGCCACGTAGAGAAGATATTCCCATCGCATACATTTCTCCTCCTCCGCTGTTCTTGGGCTTTTTCGTCGTCGCAAGGGCTACATCGTTCGTTCGCGAGGCGGAGGTAAAAGCTTTTAGGTCTTCGTTCGCTCGATTGATTGCTACATTCTTTCGCAGAATCTCCGATAATCTGTCCATGGCGTCGCTAGCTGCCGCCGTCGTGCCATCGCTCGTCGCGTCCTCGTCCAGGCCCCAAATCCGCCACGCTCTCCTCACCACTGGGCGACAATTCCTCAGGCAGCGCTCGTCGGCGCTCCAGGCATCGCCATCCCTGTACAGTAGAAGCTCCGTCTATGGGACGACCATCTCCAGGGCGCCATCGCGGAGCCTCGCCACAGCCGCGGCGGTCGGCACCACCACCACAAAGCCGAGCATCGCGGTCGGGGAGAGGATTCCCGATGGAGAGCTCTCCTACTTCGACGAGAGCGGCGCCATCCAGAGCATCAAGGTGTCGGACCTGACGAGCAAGAAGAAGGTGGTGATCTTCGCGGTGCCCGGAGCTTTCACGCCCACTTGCTCCTCCAAGCACGTCCCGGGATTCATCGACAAGGCGGACGAGCTCAAGTCCAAGGGGGTGGACACCATCGCCTGCGTCTCCGTGAACGATGCCTTCGTCATGAAGTCGTGGGGCGAGGCGCTGGGCGTCAATGGCAAGATCCTCATGCTGTCCGACGGCAATGGCAAGTTTACCCGCGATCTGGGAGTGACCGTGGATCTTTCAGACAAGGTGGAGGGATTGGGAGTGAGGTCCCGGCGCTACTCTCTGCTGGCCGAGGATGGGATCGTCAAGGTGTTGAATCTCGAGGAGGGTGGTGCCTACACGGTGAGCAGCGCCGACGAGATCCTCAAGGCACTCTAAGCTCCAAGAGCTACATACGAGGTGATAGAACTTCGTTTTTACTTCGTTTTTGGCTTTGATAGATGATAGAGCGAACCTAGAGTTGGAAGCTTTCTTTCGCAAAATAAAGACTTTTAGCAGGACAATGAAGTTCTTGCGTTTAATCATCGGAAGTTTCTTTCGAATCAAAAGAATTATTTCCTTGCGAGATCACGAAACAATCAGCGTCCATATTGTCCAGCAGCCGCTCGATCCACGTACCATACCAGGTTTCCATCAAGAGGCAAGATCATCTGCGCCGGCAACTCCCCAGCCGGGAGCTCCTCCCCGAAAACTCGCGCCACCATCTCTGCCTTGGAGGCCCCGGAGGCGACGAACACGACGTTGGCGGCCGCGTTGATCACCGGCAGCGTCATGGTGATGCGCTGGGGTGGCGGCTTTGGGGAATCGGTGATGGAGCACACCCATCGCTGCCTCTCCTGGATCAGCGGATGGTTTGGGAAGAGCGACGCGATGTGGCCGTCAGGTCCCATCCCCAGGAGGATGAGATCGAATCGGGGAAGTCCCTGCTGCGATGTGTCGAGGATCCCCGTCTGGATGGAATGCGCGATCAAAGCCTGGTAGTCGTCGGCGGCGGCGTCGGCGTCGAGAGCGTCATTGATGGAGTAGACTTGAGACACTGGAATCGTCACCTTGGATGATCCAAGAAGAAAAAACCAAGTGTTGGAAGCTAGCTGCAAAGATTCTGGAGGAAATTCTCTACCTTGGAGAGGAAGAGATCGTGCGCGAGCTTGTAGCTGCTGTCCGGATCATCCTTGCGGACCGCGCGCTCGTCCACCCAGAAGACATGCCATCGGCTCCAATCGATCTGGTCCACGACCGGCGCTTGCGCAAGCTTCCTGAATCGATCGATCCCTCGTGAATTTCGCCACCAAGAATCGAATCGAGCAAAAGGAGATCATCACTTACGTGAGCGCCGAGACGAGCGATCCTCCCGACAGCACAACAGTGAATGCGCCCTTCCTCTCGATCGATGCAGCCGAGAGCTTGCTGATGTGATCCGCCAGCCCCTCGGCGAGCTTGCCGCCGTCGTCGAATGCCTTCAAATGCAGCGAGGGATCGAGCTTGGGCGCCATTACACCGGACGAAGAGGACGAGAAAGAAGACGCGCCCCCAAAAGATCCAAGAACCCTAGGAGCTCTCCTGGCCGGCAGGCTGGATCGCTTTTCCGCGAGAAACGTTGCGCGAGCAGGGATTTCGACACGAAATTGCGGCGACAAGCCACGATCGCGATGGCGATGGGGAGAATCGAGGTAGGCAAGGATCGATTGGGACTGCCGGGGAGAAGAAAGAGCGTGTGGCAGTGGCATGGTGGTCAGCGCTTCTTCAACCTAGGACCATTGACGACGAAGGTAAACGAATATACAGTGAGCCTGTAGAATATGCGATCTTCTTTTAAAGGAGCCCTAAAGTGTGAAATGAAAACTAAAGGCAATTGAATTGAAAGAGACAAATCAATCACTTCTGGCCTTGCTGGCTGCTGTAAGTGTAAAGGTAGCCAGTAAGCCAGTATAGCGAGCGCCAGAGATTGGACGGACGAGATCGCGCGAGAGCTACATCCTGTGGCGTCAGTCTATCCAACAACAAAATGCCAGCACCAACCCGCAAAAGGAAATGGCGCTTTCACCCTTTAATCCCCTCGGCCGTACGGTGCTTGTAGCTGTACGGAGGACCCGGTGAGCGGTTCGATTCCAACCACCGGATCATTCAGGGCAAGGGTTTTGCCTTTGGGACAGGCACGAAGAACAGGGGAGGGGATTGATCGCTTTCCGACGGGGTTCTTGCCGCGATCGAGAGAGATCGCAGCTGGAAGGGAGCGGCGTAGCGCGCTGCGCAACGCCGTCGCGCCATTCAATCCAGGAGGTTTGTCGGCGAGGTCGGGATTTGAGAGGATTATGAGGAGGGAGGGGGTGTGCGCTAGCGCTCGACTGTTCTTGGTCGGGTTTGAGTCGTCGCCGGTGATGACACGCATCGGCATTGTGCGCTTGATGTGATTGGCGCGTCTTCCATCGCCAATTCAAAGGCAGGCAGAAGGAACAAAAGGGAGAGAGAGACAGATAGAGAGACTTTGAAGTCTCTCTTTCTCTCTCTCTCTCTCTCCACACCCACAGGGAAGCGCGAGGAACTCTGCTGGAGAGCCAATTTTTTGCTCGAGATTCCAGGCTCCGCCAGATCACTCACTCCGGAGGGTTTTTCTCCTCTCCCGGCAGTTTTTCTCGCACAGCATTCGAATGGCGGCGAGTATGAAGCTGGGCTCCAAGAGCGAGGGATTTCTTCGCAGAGGCCAAGCATGGTAAGCTTGGAATTGCTAGATCTCTCGCCCCATTGTCTCCTCCTTTTCCTTGCGCAGGTTTTGTACGACCGGTCTTCCCAGCGATGTGGTTGTCCAAGTCGACGAAATGACTTTCCACCTTCACAAGGTTCTATTCTGGATATCTTATCCAATTGTTCTGATCCATGTCTCTTGTAGTTTCCTCTCATGTCCAAGAGCGGGCTTCTCGAGAAACTCATCACCGAGTCCTTAGAGAGCCGCGATCAACTTAGAAACCAAGATGACGAAGACGAGGACGATGAAGAGCAGCGTGGCTGCGTCGTTCAGCTCGCTGGCATCCCTGGCGGCACCGAGTCCTTCGAGCTAGCCGCAAAGTTCTGCTACGGCGTCAAGCTCGAGCTCACCGCCAGCAACATTGTCCCGCTCCGTTGCGCCGCCGAGTACCTAGAGATGACCGAGCAGCTTGGCGAAGGCAATCTCATCGTCAAGGCCGAAGGCTTTCTCAACCAAGTGGTGCTCCGCAGCTGGAAGGACTCGGTGCGGGCGCTTCAGTCGTGCGAGAAGGTGCTCGAGCAGGCGGAGAAGCTCCAGATTGTCAAGCGGTGTGTGGATTCGATCTCCAGTAAGGCGTGCACGGATCCGAGCTTGTTCGGGTGGCCGCTCATGGATCACCACCTCACCATGCAAAGCCCCGGCGGCAGCGTCCTCTGGAACGGGATTAGCACCGGGGCTCGGCCGAGGAACTCTCGCAGCGACTGGTGGTACGAGGACGTCGCGTCGCTCAGCCTGAGCATGTTTGAGCGGCTGGTGGCTGCGATGGAAGTTCGCGGATTGAAGCCCGACATCGTCGCTGGAGCAGTGATGAGTTACGGAAAACGCTACCTCCCTGGATTAAACCGCCGCAGAGGCGAAGGTGGCGGAGGCGGTGGCGGCGGTGGAAGTAGCAGCGCCCGGAGTGGACTCTACTCGGCTCCCGTCACCACGCTCTCTGAGGTGGATCAACGAATTCTACTCGAGACCATCCAGCGGCTTCTTCCGGCTCAGAAAGGGGTCGTCCCCGTCCGATTTCTCTTCGGCCTGCTCAAGCTGTCGATGCTCCTGGGTGCAAGCAGCGATTGCAAGGCGAGCCTGGAAGCGAGGATTGGTATGCAACTGGAACAGGCCGGGCTGGACGACCTCCTCATGCCGAACTACTCGTACACAGTGGAGACCCTCTACGACATCGACGTCGTCCAGCGGATCGTGGAGCATTTCCTGAGCAGCGATGGTGGTGGATCGTCCGTGAACACGCTGGGGAACCTGGTGAGCCTGTCGTATGATCACGACGGCTCGCCAAACAATGGAGCGGTGACGCCAATGATGCAAGTCGCCAAGCTCATGGACGCGTACCTCGCGGAGGTGGCACCGGACGTGAATCTCAAGATGGGGAAGTTTCAGGCTCTGGCGGAATCGCTGCCCGAGTACGCGAGGCTGGTGGACGATGGTCTGTACCGAGCGATTGATATCTATCTCAAGGTAAGTTCTTCGTGCCACCTCCTTCGTGAGTTTCTTCTATAACTTTGGTTCTTGGTTCCAGGCTCATCACTGGTTGACGGAGCTAGAGCGCGAGAAGCTGTGTCGCACCATGGATTGCCAGAAACTTTCGCTCGAGGCGTGCACTCACGCCGCTCAGAACGAGCGCCTGCCCCTCCGCGTCGTCGTCCAGGTGCTGTTCTTCGAGCAGCTGCAGCTCCGGACCGCCATCGCCGGCTGCTTCCTCGTGTCCGAGAACGTGGAGGCGTCGCGGCCAGCTTACCAGAACCCACGCGACGCTGCCAGTGGCGCCGCCGCCGCCGCCGCCGCCGCTGCATCGAATCGAGCAGCAGCAGGAGGAGGAGGTGGTGGAGAAGGCTGGGCGAATGTGCTACGCGAGAACCAAGTGATGAAGGTGGACATGGATCGGATGAGGAGCCGCGTGATCGAGCTGGAGAAGGAGTGCACGCAGATGAGGCAGGAGATTGAGAAGATTGGAAACGGGAAGAGCGGCGGCGGCGGCGGCGGTGGAGTGAAGAGCAGTCACGCCGTGCTCGCGGCGTCGATGATGTCGAGCTTCTCGCTGGCCAAGAAGCTGGGCTGCCGATCGAGGCCGCACGCGCTAAAGCCGCAGGACGTGATGAAGCCGCCACAGCCAGCGCCGCCGCCAGAGGATGATCTTGATGAAGGATCGCTCAAGGCGGCGGCGGCGGCGGCGAGGGCGGCGGGGGTGGCGGCTCCTCAAGTGAGGCGGCGACATCGGCGAACCCATTCATTGGTTTGATGCTTACTTTCTCCTCTCGTGTTCTCGTGTTCTTCTCGTGTGCTCTGTTTTAGGGCTATTAAAATTGCCGCGAAATATTTTAAATTTAGACACGTTAGCCCTGAAATGGCCATGTGGCCAAGTTTCACGGCCGTACGCATATAAAGAAACATGGAGGAGAATGAGCTCTCTCTATCTCCACCAACCTATCTAATGGAAGGCAACAAGAAAGAACAAAAAACCTCTTAAAAAGGGCGAGGAAGAATCCCAACGGAAGAAAGGAAGGTCGGCCTACCTATCAATCGATTCGTCTTCGTGTTTCAATCGAATTTCCATATAATCGTTTGCTCGATCACCATTTAACTCTCCCTGCTCGATCGATCGATCCAATGTATCTCATCCATCGCGGGTCGATCAATCGCCAGAGAAGAAAGAACCAAGAAAGAGGAAGGAAGAAAGGGGCTATGATCGATCACATTGTGTAAAACTCCATGAGCTCCTCGAGATTGAAGTTGCGCAGCGATGGATCGTCCCGGCTGAGCAGCCACAGGATGTGCTCGAAGAGAATGGCGTCGCAATCGAGCAGGATGTCCTCCTCGTACAGCGGCGATTCGCCCGCCCTAAGCCCCGCGGCCACGAAGTTGGATCTCTCGAGCAGGCATTGCACGATGGCGTGGTCCAGGATCTGGGGCTCTACCTGGAACGCCTGCCGCTCCTCGTCCTCCTTGCCCACCAGGAGCGTCACCAGATTGCTCTTGGCCTTCCTGGCGAATTTGACGCACGAGAGGAGGCGGTGATCTCCCCTGCGCTGCAGCACCGCCAGCGAGGAATTGGACGCCGCCGCCTCGCCGCCGGGGAGGATGGGCGAGAGGCTCTCCCTGTACGAGGTGGAGAAGCGCCAGAGCTTGGAAGAAGATCTGAAGAGATCCATGGACGAATCCTCGTCGCTGCCCGAGCGCCGCCCGCCTCCCCCGCGAATCGCATCCAGCTTCTCGATGAGCCGGTTCATCTTCATCCTGGGAGAGATCGAATTGGGGATTGGATTGGAGGGATTCGTGTCTCTCACGAGGATGGAGATGGAGGAAAAGCCCTCATTCGCGACGGAGAGATGATAGCATTGTGGCAGAAGAAGATTTTGGAAAGAAATCCAAGGGGAAGGAATCAGAGTGCATTGGACGCAGCCCTTTGTTATGGAGCTTCTTGCCAGAACGCTAGAGTGACGTCTTCCATAGCCAAAGCCGCGATGGACTCTAGCGGGGTGGACCGATCCTGAGCGTCCATTTCCGGCACACGATCTTAGTTAAGCTTGTTTAAAACGATAGCAAAGGGTAAATAACCTCTCCCGGATTAATAGTATGGTTGTCTATGGCCAGCAGAGGTTCGTGTTTGTCACTCCGGGAATAATTTTCAATATCCCCGAGTAAAACAATAACGTGGTTGATAATCGAGAGCTTTCGAAGTTGCTAGAAGAAGCAAAGGACGTATGTTCTTGTTTAAAATGGGAGAACGTCAAACACGGGATTCTGGGCATGCCTACTAAAATTCCTCGCATTTTCCACTCTGGCCTTGAAGCTTCCAGCCTGACCAGAACAACAAGGTCGAGCATCTTTAGTAACTTCAATCACCTTTAGCAAAGTCCTACCTTGCCTTGTAGTTTCAGCAAGAAAGTATGATCAACCTCCCGCGTTGTTCACGAAAAAGCGGGGTGGAAGAGTTGAAAAAAGAGATGAACACCTCCTTGCTTGCTGTTTAATGGTCACTGCGATCGAGGCCGCCGGGATCCTGCAAAAATTATCTGCGTTTCATCACCAAAACACGAAACAAAAGTCAAGATAACGTACCTGACATGATGTGCTGAAGCATTGTTTCCTGGATGTTGTCGTAGAACATCGTTCCAAA